TCATTTTCTTGGTGACAATAACTGAAGTGCTGTACAAGTAGTTTCTATTTCATGGCAAAAAGGTATATTCCTATCCCTCCCTGGTTTGTGTGCTTGGAGGTTCAAGTACCAAAAAAAAGGCAATCATGTGAAAAAAACTAACATGAAACCACCACTTTCATATTCCACATACCTTTTCTTCCACAAGGCATTTAGTTAATTGCTCAGTTGGCAATCCATGAATAGGTTGATCACATGCATATCTCGTGTTCTGATTTCTCCAGAGTTATTATCAGAATTATATCTGTGTCAAAAGCAGACTAGCTGAAGGAAATGCAATCTTCTGGGGAGCTGAATTAAAGCTTATTTGTTTCTTTTTTATTACTGCTTTTGGGAGTGTAAGAATAATGGGATAGCTGGCCATTTTTTCCCATCCATGAAAGTAACAAAACAAATGTGTCCATCAGCAGCTCCACTGGTTTAGGTTTCCACCTGTGACTCAAGTGGGGAGCTTCCACTTTTCAGCTTTATTTTTGGTTATCATAAGCAGATTCTTAACATGAATTGAAACCACATCATCTGTTTTCAAGATCCTTGAGCAGTTCAAGTCTAAAACATAGTTCTGGAACTTTCTCTAGCTGGTGTCTGTAAGTCTTGAGGGATTTGAAATGTCTTCGGGGAAAATAAAAAGAAATTGAACCATTAACCTCAGTATTATTTCTATTCAGGTCTTAAAACAAATGTTCTTTCCTAGTTTCTTCAGATGACCTATGTGGAACAGACAGAGAGAATCTACAGAGTAGTTTCTGAAGGCAGGAATTAGTCCTCTCTATTTCTTTCTCCTTTTTCCTTTGGCACTTAAAGATCAGCCAAACCATGACAGACAACCCCATAATCCCTGGACCTCTTAAAATGCAACTTTTGGCACAAAACAATGAACCTAGTCATCTTCTTCAGGAGAAACATGAGGGGGAAGCACTGATAGGTTTCTCTACAGCACATCAGCAGAGATATTAAGTGCTTGAAAAGACCCCTGGGTGAACACAAACAAAGCACCTCCATGACTAACCTCAATACATTAGCCAGAGAAATGTATGACTGTGTCTGTCTCACAGAAGTTGTAAAAATCCTGCTCTTGGCAATACCTGATAATAAATATATATGTTTGACTAAGTTCATTGAGGGCTGTGTACAGAGAATTACACAACAGCATGGGTAGTTTTCTGAATCTGGGACATGTCTTCTTCTTTCTTGTTGTAGGCCAAATATGTTTTGCAGAGAAGTTAGTCTAAACACTCAGAGGAAAAGGTCACTTCCCCTCTAGCCTCCTATTTATTTAATTTTTCCTCCTGACTGTGATTCGTCATGGGACAGACTGCTCTGCTTGTCCCAATGAGAAGTTATTGTCTCTAAGAAGCAAAGTACTGAGTGACTCAGCAGGCAATACTTTCTCTTCCCCGAAGTTTGTCTTTACAGTGCATAGAGTGTATCCTTCTCCCCAAGCAAGTAAAGCAATAATTTACATTTTTATCAGATTCTCCAAGAGCCTTAACTCTGAAACTATCACAGTAATACCCTGGGCAGTATATCAATAAAGAGTCTGGCATCACTTTAGTAATAAAACTCTGTCTGTCTCTAGTTCTGGCCTTCATTTCATATAAAAGTTTGAGTTTTGTAGTAACAATTATACATATTGTCTATCCATCTGTATCTGTGCCAACTTGATTCTAATGACTCAAACATTGTTAAATAAGGATTAATTTATACTGCATTCATCACTAATTGGTAGAGATAAAAACTATTTCATCGTTTATCATGATCAATCCATCTTCAGCATGTTTCAACATGTTGGCAAGAGAGTTTTAAATTGTGTTCTGTATTTTTATTCTTCTTTTCCCTTATCTGACTTTTATGTGAACATAATGGAAAGAGAGAACACACTTATTTCAAGGCACTGAAATTACCTCTTTCAAATTCACTTGTCTACACAGAAGGCTAACATGGCTACAGAAAGGATGATTGCAAAATGAAAGAATCTTGCAGCCCTTAACAATTTTCTTCTTAAACAGGGCTAGTTTAAGTATTGCAGTATTGCATTAAACTACATTAAGAATTGCATATAATTACACTGCAGTGAAGGCTTTCAACAAAGCCTCTAAGAATTCAAGTAAAAAATCTATCAATCCAAAGTAAATGTGTAATTTTCATGTTGAACATTGGTTTACAGACCAGACTAGCCTATTAACTAATATTCACTTTTTGAACACCTGTGGATATTTAAAAAGGTATACCTCTCCTGAAACCTTTTTATCCCTCAAGTTTTTAAACAGCACAAAGTTAATGAGCAAAACAGAGTATTTTTATCTTGTTCTTTAATGTCTGCAAACTTTAATTAAAGTAATAGGGATTTTTCTTTTATCTTACCTGTTTTATTCTATTTTAATGTAAGATACCATTTTCTTGATATGGCCTATTTTTTTTAATTCCTTTATCTCTGACCCTGATGTAATGACAAAATTTTTCTATACTCTATTTTTTTTCTTCCTCCTGGCTATAGAATCCTAGTCAATAATTTCCAGAAATAATGGCAACAATATATCGAACCTAAATAAATTCTTGCTATTATTTGAATACTACTTAATTCAGAGTCCTGTTAGGGACTAATTTTGCCTGGACTGAATAAAAATGTTATTTCAAAATCAAAGTAATCCTAAATAGTATAAATGGGAATGAATGAGCTTGAGTTCATTTTGAGGACAAGGTACTTGTTAACAAATGAGATAAATCTGTGGGAGGAAAGAGGGGGTGTCAAATGCTATCTCATGGGCAATAGAATAGAACAGAATAATTTTAGTTGCATGGTATCTATAGTGATCCTCTAGTCCAAGTGCTTGAACCATTCTGGGATAAGAAAATACTAAAACTGACAGGCTTGGCTGTTGTAGTTTAACCCCATCCAGCAACTAAGCACCCCAAATTCACCCACTCACTCACTCATGGGATGAGGGGAGAGAACGAGAAGAGTAAAAATGAGAAAACTCATGGGTTGAGATAAAGATGGTTTGATAGGTAAAGCAAAACCCACTCTCGCAAGCAAAGCAAAACAAGGAATTCATACACCACTTCCCATGGGCAGGAAGGTGTTCAGCTTAGTCTGTATGTTGAGCATAATGCTGAATGGTATAGGCTATCCCTTGGGTCAGCTGTGCTTGGCTGTCCCAGCTATGTCCCCTCCCAGCTCCTTGCACAACCCCAGCCTCCTCACTGGTGGGGTGGGTGAGAAGCAGCAAAGCCCTTGGTTCTGTGTCAGCCCTGCTCAGCAATAACAAAAAGATCCCTGTGTGATCAACCCTGTTTCCAGAACAAATCCAGAACACGGCCCCATAATAGCTGCTATGGAGAAAGCAGCATCCCAGTCAAAACAGGACCAGCGGAGCATGAAACACCACTCTAGTAAGCCTGTTCCAGGGTTTGATCACCCTCTTAGCAAAAATTGCTTCCTATTGACCTTCCAGGTCAATTCTGAACCTTTCCTGATGCAACTTTGAACCGTTTCAATGACTCCTAAAAAGAAGAGCTCAGCACCTCCCCCTCCACTCCACTTCCTCAGGACTCTGTAGAAAGCAATGAGCTCAGCCTCAGCCTCCTTTTCTGCAAATGAGGGCAGTCCAGGGTCCTCAGCCACTCCTTACAGGACATGCTGGCCAGCCCTTTCATCAGCTTTGTTGGCCTCTTCTGGACACAATCAGGGACCAGGACGTCCTCCTCAAATGGAGCAGCCCAGTGCAGCTCAGGCCACACCGGTGATGAATACAGCAGGATAATCTCTCTGATCCCCTGGCTGTGCCGTGTTTGATGTCTCCAGGATGAAATTTGTTCACTTGGCTGCCCGGATACACTGCTGGCTCACAGTGAGCCTGTTGCTGACCAGCACCTCCAGATCCTGTTCTGCAGGGCATTAGCCATCCCATTTTCCTGATTCGAGTTCACACAGCATATTACTCCTTTCACCCTCTCATTTGTTTTTTAATTTTCACACACATCTCTGAAGCACAGTGCTTATCCACCTTCACATGAAACTTTTACCATCTTATTTTTCTTCATCTACTTAGCCATTTTGTCAAAAAGCCTTCTACTCTCTAAAATTCTTCTGGCAAAACTCATTTTTTATCAACAACAACCTATCATGGCTGCAAATTAATGCCACAGTCCTTTAATTTACTTAATCACTAAACATTGATAGTAATAGTAGTAGTAGTAATAGTAGTAGTAGTAGTAGTGGTAGTAGTAGTAATAGTAATATAGAATCTTGGAAAAAATCTGTCCACTCAAAATTGGTTTTGTTTGCATCATCCATTTTGTTCCTTTTCTGTGTATCTTCTATCTCTTAACAAGGCAGATGCAACCTGTAAGGTTCCTTTTACCCAGTAAATATTTGTAAACAAATAGTTAAAGCCTGGAGTTAAAACAAGAAGATAGAATTAAATTTAGTGCACTCCAAGGTTATGTACTTTTGCTGCCCCATTTGCTTTCACCATTTTTGTATCTTCCATTCCATTCTCTGGATCTTGACATTTTTGGTTCACTGCACTTTATTCTAGTCCTTTTCTCCTTTCCTCTTTTTCTGTCATTTCTCTTCATTTTTCTACTGCCTTTCTCCCACCCCACTCAGTTAAAAAAACTAGAAAGTTTGATCTTTTTCTCTTTTTTCTGGGTGTGGTCTTCCTTCTGTGTATTCTTCCTTTTTTTCCTCTTTCCTGCAAGCTATTCCATTTCTCTTCTTGTCTGTTTTGTTTAGTTTTGGGGTTTTTTTTGTTTGTTTTTCTGGTTAGTCTTTTGGTTGGTTAGTTGTTTTGATTGTTTATTTGTTTTGGTTGTTTTCATTGGTTGGTTGTTGGGTTTTTTGGGGATTTTTTTTTGCAAAACCACTCTAGATCATTCTTATTTACACAACATTATCTCTTTGTGTCACCTCTTTTTCCCACTTCTACTTTTCCTGCATCACATAAATGTGGGATCAGTGGAAAGGACTGATGCTGGGATTCTCAAAAGAAGAGGAGGAAGTTGTGCACTGTGTCAGACCCCGATAGAGGATGGTATATGGATTGCAGGTATTTGTATTAATCCACAGTGCAATTTTTTCTTGCAGCTTTGTATGTAACCTATCTATATGCTGTTTTTAGATGGCCAAATAACCTTAGTACTGCACTGGAAAGTGAGAGTTAAAGGCATGGCTGTATCCCACCTTTCATTGCCCAAGCATTACTCTTCGGCTGTAAGGAGCAGGAAGGAAGGAAGATAGACTGCAATTGACTCTATCCACAGTTTGCCAGGATCAGGACATTCTGGAGAGCCCCTCAGGGGTGGAAAGACCCTGTTTGTGCTGTTCTTTATGTCTCCACACCTCCAGAGTGAAATGGAGTATGGTCTGTCAGGGTAATCAACAGGGGAAGATGCTGGTATGAATTCATGCCACTTACAGTGGCTTGCTCACTAAAGTTTGAATTGTGTGTGAACAGCTCTCAGCAGCTCTCATTTATGAGACAAAAATGTCAAAATATTTTACTGAGTGAAAAACATACGTGAGTTACCAGGGCTGACTCTTTCTGAGTTCATATTGCTTAGAAAATAACTTCTGAAATGAGTTTTCCCTCCTCCCCTCAGCTAGCAGTAAGCGATTCATATGTTTTGAGGTGTGAAGGGCTTTTAAAATTCATTTTTTAAAGCCCTACTTTAAAATAAAGTGCTTCTTATATAGAGGGATTGATTATTTTCCTTGTGTAGTGAATGATAAAACTACCGTAGACTATGAAGAGGCAGCAAAGTAGTCTCTATCTTCAGCTGTGTAACATGTCTGGAATCCATCCATTCTACTACTGGAAAATGAGAGATTTGGAAACATTAACTCATCAAGGAAGAATTGCAAATGAGAATGGAGAGAAAGTATTGTGATTAGAACAAAATCATCTATTGCCATATGCCTTCCCTACAGAGAAAACAGTTTAAATACCCATCACATGGAATAGCTCAGCTAAGTCTTTCCCTGGAAAGAGTCTGCTTACATAGTATCTAGATAAAATAATGCTTATAATTTATCAGCAGTTCTTCAGTCCCTTAATTTAATTGAATTAATTGAGGACTATTCAGAACTTTAAACAGAAACACCAGCTTCTGAATAATTCCCAGCTTTTCACAAAAGATGAAAAATGCTGAAAAAAAGATATTACCTTTTTTTTTTCTTTTTAATTTTTTTCTTTCTTATGCACATTTATATTTTTTGTTCTTGGTCCGTACTCTTATTGAAATCTGTTTCTCCCTGTGTCCAAGGCTGTGATCACTCACTGAAGTATTTGGGGATTGTAAGAAGACATAAATGCTGGAGTTTTTTTTCAGAATCATGTCATCAAGTCATTTTGTATTTAAAGTTAAGTGTTGAACAATGCAGGAAATACTATCCATGCCTTAAGTTACCTGTGCTTGTTTTGAAGTATTTTGTAATGCAAATGTGAAAAGGAGTTTTGAGTATCTGCTCCAGGTATGCAATGGCTGAAAGCAAAATACTTGTTCAGAAAAGCCTGTGTGTATTTATATTCCATACTGGAATCATCCAAATTACTCCTTTATAATTAAACATTTTAAAATAATAACTGACCCACCTGAGAACAATTGCTGTTATTATTATTTTTAAAACAGAAGTAAATAATTTTTAGCAGCAGTATATGTTTCTCATATTACATTCAATGTGAATTGAAAAATACCTAAAATAGCCTGACTTTAAAGTCTGCCTAGAGGTATACAAGTTTGTCTTATATTTGATGATGTCATTTTGTATCATGATCGTTATCTCCTTCATTTTGTTAGTCTCTGTATTAAAACTTCAATTATCCTACAAGCACCTGTGAACCTCCCATGTTCCTTCAAATGTCTCCATAATTTTCATGACAGTTTTTAGCAAAGGCAATACTAACAATACTTGTAAAACCCTTCTCATTCTCTGATGAGTTCCTCAGAACTGTCTTTTGACCACCCTCACCTCCCAAAGACCTTTGTTGTCTTCTGTTACTTTTTCTAGAACACCCATGCAAAACTGTATATAAAATAAAGGAGGCTAGGGCAGCTATGCTCTCTGGTTCTGGATTGATCTCCAACTAACAAAGTTTGAACTCTTCAGTTTCAAATCAAGTTTGGCAAAGGGTTGTATATCAAAAACTAACAATTTCCAATGAAATTTTGACAACAAGCCTACAAGAAAAGAAGGGTCCTAATAAAACATTCAGTAAAAGAGTCTTCAGATAATAAATCTTTTTCTAGTCATCAAACAATGCACATGGGAACTAAAATATTGAAAGAATACACTGTTGGTTGAATTACAAGTCTTTGTTAATTCTTAAGGTTGAGGAATTTTTGTTCATTATTTCAGTATGTTACACCACATAAGGTCCTTGTTCATCTCTCTAATATATAGGCAGTGTGCTAATGTTCATGGCCCTGTCCTATAAGTTTTTGTTCCAAATATCTTTAATTTAACATCTTTAGCATACAGAAGTCCCTTAGGCAAAGCATTTCAGCTCATTTGAAAGGTCTAATGCCATAGAATTGAGACCAACTCTGGATATTGTTAAAATTTCACAGTAACCTTTTTCACTCATATTTTGCCAAAATGAAAATTCTTATTTTTCATCATAGTTCAGTCAAAATAAAATTATGTTATTTAGCATAATTAAGGAAGGAAAATTTTGTTAAAGAAAGTCTATCTGACTTACAACATAAAAATGGAGGATAGTACAAGTGTGTTTATAATGCAATTCAATTTGACCAAAAACAAACCTCGCTGCTCTTCTTTCTTTCCTTAGGATGCCCATCAATTATGTTAAACTGAAATCATTTTATCTAGTGATAAATACAGATAGATAGCACCAAACCATGTTACTCATGTGAAACGGGGGAAAACACTCTTGTTTTTCAAGAAGCAGTGATTACCCTACCAGTTGTATCTTATTGCATGTAAAAAGAGCTTTTATTATTGCAATTATATTCTGATTGAATTTTGCAGGTATCTATGATTATAGTAATGCAGCTTTTATTTTCTTTTAAACTATATGTCCTGGGGTGACTTCATAGCTTTGGGAACTGGGGGGGAAGTTGAAGCTGCTGGAGGCTGATGGGAGTTTTTTTTCCTGACCAATTACTAGCCATTTCTGAGAACTGACAGTGATTCTGACCATTGAAAAGTGAGATCAGCTTGTGATTAAGCTTGTGTCTTAAGACTGGGAATATCTTGTTCTCTTTTGGTTCCCGGCTTTTGGAAAGATAGCAGGGCTCTGATCCAGGCTCCTCCTCCAGGCCGGACAAGGCCGCGGAGGGCAGCGGGGGAGAAAAGCACAGCCAGCCAGCCTGACTGGGTTTGCAGTTTCTGCTGCTGAACTGAAACCTGACACCATGAACATCTGCAGCTTTCCAAGTGAGATTTACAGATTACTCCTTTTTTCCCGGAGAGAGGGGAAGAGAGAGAGAGAGGGATAATCAACATGAAGAAGACACCATAAAACCATCAAAAACAGTGAAGAAAAGAATTAAGTTTTAGATGGGAAAGAAAGAATAAGGAGATGCTTTAGTAAGCTGAAATATTTTTCTGTTAAAGCTGTGGAGACGGACCATAGTGTTCTCAAAAAAGCTCCTTTAATTCATGACAGAGTATATTGGGAGGAATGGAGTGTTCAAAGTGTGGATTTTGAGCAAAACGTGGAGTAGTTGTGATACAGTGAGGTGCTGGAACAGAGGGGGGATAAGGTTGAAGATTTGGGGCCGTTAAGAGGCAAAGAGAAAACTTCTGTTTCCAGGGAGTCTCACAGAGACAGATGAAGAGAACTTTTACCTTTGAATAACTCATCCTAAAAAATTACGTCCCTAGACTCATGGCCCGTACACACCTCAGAGTGATGTGAAATGGGAGGAGAAAACTGATGGCAGATTTTGCTGGGCAGCTGGCATCAGAGAAATAGAAAGCTATAACAGAAATAGTTTTCTTGTGAGAAACTCCATAGATAAGCAGAAGACTTCTGTTTCTCTACAAAGACTGATGAAAAGACTCTAGCAGGAATTAGGACTGTTTAAACACCAAAGTTCCAAAGTTTTTGTCTCTGTGTTGTCATGTAAACAAGGGAATGGTTGGGTAGTGGGGGAAAAAGGGTTTTTCTGGAGGTTTTATTCTGGTTTTCTTATTCTTGTAGTTTTGTTAATAAATTTTCTTTATTCCTTTTAAGTTTTAAGCCTGTTTTGCCCTTGTTCTAATCCATATTTCATAGCAAGAAATAAGGAAGCTTTCTAGTGATTTTTTTTTAGTTATTGCTTTAAAACCACGACACCATAGATTTCAAAAAGATTCAAAAAAGAAAATAAAAAAGGTTTGGGGTTTTTTTTTAACGCTCTCTCTTTGAAGGGAAAACATATTTGTTAATCAGAAAACAGCAAAGCGTAGTACATTGTCTTGAAATCTTGTATTGTAGTTTGAAAACTGAAGTCAATTTGGGAAAATGAATTTTATAATGGAAATATTACTGTATCTTGGCTTTTTTTGTTTTCCTTACTCTGCCAAGCCACACTCAAAGGTCTTATAATTTATGTTTCATGGTTTGGAGTATAGTTAGTTAATGGTGTCTCCAGATGAAAAACAAAAAACAAAAATCAAACAAACAAAAAATAATAATAAAAGAAAAACAACAAAAAAATCCACACACAAAACCAAACAAAACACAACAATAACAACAAAAACACTGTGGTCTAGTTTGGGGTAACTCTGCTTCCCATAATCGTTGTGAGGAATCAAAGTGAAAATGCCAATTATCTGAAGTAAAAATGTGTGAAACGAAAAGAATACATAATTGACCATCAAAATATAAAATATAAAATAGAGTAGACTAGACTAGACTAGACTAGATTAGTTTACAATAGACTATACTAGTTCCAACTAGGTTGTCAGAACTCACAATGATCTAACATGTGGCCACTTTGTGGCTGACCACAAGTCAAAATATGCTTTTAAGATATTGCAAAGAAATAAGCAAAGAGCTCAACATCTCCCTCCTCCCCCTCCTCAGAAAGCTGT